TTGCCTGCGCCAGAGGCGGCGGAGCCGTATTTTACTTCTGCGCCCGGGAATTTGCCTTCGACGTTTGCGGTGTCGACGCCGGATTCGGTTGCTGTTGGAGGAGGAGGTTAGTAGGGTTTGGGTTGGGATGGGAGGTTGGGGGTGATGGGATGCGAAAGGATGGGAGAAGACGTACTGGAGAGACCAGCATTGTGGCCGTGAACAGCGCTGTTGCTGTTGAGGTCCTGCTCAGCCTTCTTGGCGATCTCGGCGACGTTGGTGTTCTTGTATTCGGCGGACATGTTGATATATGTGTGTTGTTTCGGTGTAGTTTGGGTAACTTGGTTGTTTCGAAGTGTGTATTGGTAAAACGTGGGATTTGGGTATCAAAGAAGTCGAATGTGTGTGTATATGCAATGGAGGGGTAAACTTCAGAGGGGCATTATAAAGGTTTCATGCAAACTGCTAGCTTCAGACCACAGACCTCATCGATGATGATGAAAGAGTGGTGGACCCTGATGATGTCACAACGACCTCATAACAGCGGGCCGAGACATGAGAATCCTTTCGCGATGGGGAAAAGTCTTGCCGATTAGTGAAGAGACTTAACGATGTTTACTTGGAAATTGGTACGGGTTTTGGTTGATGGAAAGGTTTGCCGTCGTTGGTCGCGTGCTGGTGGGGTGGTGGTGGAAGAGGCGGACATTCAGGTACCAGATCCGTGCGGTATGACGACAACTACGGAATTCATCGTGGGACGACACACAATGCACGTGCTTGCATGAGGCAAAAGAGTCTGGTTTGAGGGTATGTTGATGTTGTTGCGCAGAGCGGTATCGCGTCGTTGTTTTTCGCGTCTCTCGACTAATGTTTTGTATCTCCTTCGTTCTCTTATATGCTCGTCCACTTCGACTTCTTCTCTATCCAGACCCGGCTTCCGGGAGTAGAGTCTCAGGTCGTCAGCTATTGAAGTCAGCATCCATTCATTTCGCTCACCAAACCTCTGCTATGTTCTGTCATTTCATAAGACATTCACGCTAGACTGCGCACATGGCAGTCACAACGATTGCGAGAGGCGTGATGACTTCGATACCAATATCGGTGATGTCTGCACTGATGCATCACGATCACTTTCACGCGCGCGCTGGTACCAGTTGTTACACGAAAAAGGGTTTCTTTGAGCACTTACACTCTTCTGGTATGTCCACTACACTTACTCCGACTCAACCCCAGTAGTGACTGTTTACTCCAACTATGGTAGTTTGATACAAGTCATGGCAACGCATAACAACGCCATCCCAGTCGTTGCTCTAACCATCCATTCACCACCAGCCTCCCCATCCTCATCCGCATCCTCGTCTGCATCCTCATCCGCCAACACCTCACCAAGCACATCTCCGCCAAACAAGCGCAAACGCGACTCTGACCTACAAACCAAAGTGTTGGTGTTACAGCAAAGGCGAGACGCAAAAGCCAGACTAGGCGCTAGTGGTGGTGTACCAACAGGCTGGAAGTGTGGTCATTGCGGGACGGTGCAGGACGCGGGTAGTGTGGAGTGTGTGACGTGGTTTTGGACAGAGGGGGTGTGTGGGCATGAGTATTGTGGGAGGGGAGAGTGCTGTGGGCTGGTGATCTAATGGTACGAGTAAGGGAGATAAAGACTTGACCGAGTACTAGGGAATGGGACGAGGATGCATGGTATTTAGCTCTTCGACTAGTGATGGAGAACATGTTGCGATCATTCCACGATAATCATATTGTTTTCGCAGTCACTGCAGCTACTTCCAAGCTCAAGATTCTAGTCGTCACGTTTTCTTTTCTTCGCCGGTGGAGTGTTCAGTTCGGGATGACTTCTCCTCAAGTGTACCAACAGTGCATCTTCTCTCCCGAATTTGCAATTGCAGCCCGGCTGACCACAGCGAATGTGTCTGGTGTCTCTCACTGTCCCGATGGGATTATGTTTTTCCATGTGACGATTCAAGTTCCGTTGTGCATACTTGCCCCTGAATTCAGGTTGGTCAACGCAAATAAGGCATCTCAGGGTGGTTTTCTGAGACTTTACTCGGTTTAAAATGCGCTCTTTTTCGATATTCAAACCGGCAGATTCTCCATCGTGGTCTTTTTCGCGTGCTCCGTCATGTGAGGAATGATCGGATGAGATTGTGAGAGAAAGGGCCGTGGGCGCGGGATTGCTGTTCTGTGCTGATTCATAGACTGACGACGGCCACCATGGGATTGTATGACGAAAGGGTAAGGATGCTGGGTACGCGTACTGTGCTGTTTCATAAATCGAAGGCGGCCATAAGCTGAGCGTCGAATCTGCGTCAGGCGAAAGTGAGTTGGAATCTACCAGTACGGCGCCAGCCATCGCAATGTCCAGCGAAAACGTGGGCTCTTGTAAGTATTCGCGACTGCAAGGCGATGTATAATCAGGGTAAGACCGCTGTCTCAATTCGTACACTGGGTCTTGCCACAACTCTGGTGTCATGGATCTTGCGGTGTCGATGTCTGTTTGTTGGTCTGGTCTTGAAGTTACAGCAACATCAGAAGGAATGGTTGATCGTATATCGTCGAAAGATTGAGGCCGAGGTTCCCCTTCTTGGTTTAGTTTTTGAGCCGAGTTTTGTGGAATCGTCTTGGAGGTTTCTCGCACGGGTCGCCAATACGAGTCGCTTGGTTGTCTGACGGTAGGGCAGGATGAAGTTGAGCCACAAAAGTTGGCTTTCGCAGATTCTTCGTAGTTCGGTCCGGGGTTCGGTCTATCGATGGAGGTACACTGCTGAGGTCTTGAATCAACAGGCGTCTTCTGGACGTTGAATATATGAGGTCCCTTCCACTGTAGATTCGTTCGCACATGCTTATCGGAAGCTGGTCGGTTCGTATGAATTGCTTCTTGTCTACCAGTATCGTTCAAGGAGGGTGGGTGACACTCAACGATAAGGTCAGAGCCTTGCTCAGCCTACTGAGGTCGGTCAGAGCGCAATCTCATGATAAGCCACGAAAACTTACGTTCTGATCTCCCGTAGAAAGAATTGAAGGAGGGTTGATTGAAGTTGGTGATGTAGGTTGCTCTTGCGCAGCGGCAGCTTGGAATTGTGAAGTCTTGGGAGACTGTATTGTATCATCCGTGGATACAGCTAGTTATACAAACATCAGTTTGGATTCGCTCAGAGGTATTATCAGTGTAAACATACTGGGTTGCGTTCCTTGCGCAACAATGTATGCCTCCACTTTCGAGCATAATATCTCATATTGCTCTTGCTGACCAGCGTCTCCCTTACGCTGCTGTCTTGGTGTCTCGCATTTCAGGCCGTCTTTGCCATGCAAATTCTCAAACTCAGACTCGTCTAGTATTTCATCGTTGCACGTCCGGCAGAGCTTGAGAAAGGGGAGATGCGGTGGCTTTCCTTCTGGTAGTTTGCGAGTTAGATGCGTTCGAACGGCAGATACTGTAGTCACGGGAGCTGCTGTACACGTGTATGGTAGCCCAAATTTTGCTTGGGCCTTCCGAAACGAACAATGTAAGCTTCGTTTGGATTTTCGAACCTGTTCGTCCATGGCTGTCGTTGGTGCGATGGGCCCAGGTGGCTCAGCCGGTTGTAACAACGATGCCGATGGCTGTTGGTCAGACATTAATGTCCTGGAGGTCCTTTTGTGTCTCTCTGGTGCTGACTGCTCAGCAATAGGGGTCGTCAATTCTTCATTGGCAACGTTTCGACGCTGTGATGATAACGTCAGCAACACGTCGTTCACAAGAGCTTTCCCACCTACTTCTTGTACACATTCTAACAATTCAGTTGAGTAAGTGGGTCTCTCGAGATCCTCAGTATCTGTGACACGGTGTGGAGGCGCACTGGGACTGGGCACCAGTGGTGTGGGGCCACGGGTTTGCTCAGGTTGCAATTCAGGGTTGCAAGTCCAAAAGTGTTCAACATCGATGTTCAAAGATGGCTCCGGATTGTTCATCAATAGCAAGTAGAGGTCATCGGCACTAGGACTTGATCGTAGAAAATCGTCAAAATCACCAGTGAATGAATGAAAGTCGGCCGGAGGTAGGGTGAGGCTGACGTCTTGGCGTAAGGCTGGAGAATCTGGCGAGGGGTCTGCTGCCTCCAATGGCTCAATGTGGGAACTGGTGAAAGAAGGAAGCTCCAGATCTGGAGACAGAAGTTTAGGACGCTTGTCGGTCCCGAAAACGTGAGCCGAAGGACCATGAAGGACCCGTTTGGCCATTGTGGACACAACGAGAAGGAGCAGAAGAAGGACACTGAAAAGCGTGAGGATGCGGGCATCAGGTCGATATAACGATCTCTACCAGCCAATCATGGTGCGTGATGCGCTGGTAAGTGCCATGGCTTGTACGAATGCGGTCTTACTGATTCGTGCTTTTGAAGACCTGCGGATTTGCAGAGATGCCTGACTGCCTTACGGGCCACACTCACAGTCCTATAAGGAAAGTCGAATGCCTAGAGGAGGGTGGATCTGTAAGATGATTGGGGTGTGTCGAGACAGCTACCGTCATGCCCGTTCGTCCACGTAGGGAAGGCTGAAAGCCACATGAGAAAGCGGCCAATGGGAGCCCGGGTTCCATTTGAACGCTACTGAGCTGCGGACTTGCGGGCTTGCGGACATCCTGATTTACAAGCTGGATCTGATGAACTACTGTGCGGCAGTGGTGGCGGAACCAAAGTCGTATGCGTGTGCCCGTGCCAAAGCTTTCTAGCATCGCCTTGTTGACAGCATCTAAGAGGCGGTAAAGAAGCGGTAAAAAACCTGTTCTGCGGAACGATGTCTCCCAGTATGAATTTTGAGATATGAAAAAATCACATATCGTGCCAGGGATGCGAAGATGCCTTCGGAATTGCGGGTATGTGAGAAGTCGTGGACTGAAAAATCGAGGAGCTGCTTGTGAACTACTATAAGAAGACTGCGTGAGCAAGACGACGGTTCAATATCGCAAGAAGTGAGATGATTGAAGGGGTATCAAAAGGGGATATGCTCAATAACAATACGCAGGCGCTTCATGCCCACACACCGAGAGTCCAACTGGCTCTCTCTCCGCCCTTGTTGGATAGACCAGGACCCATGCTCTGCCTCTGCGCGATGACAGAGACCTCTTTCTCCCGTGTAGCACCCTGTAGACCATCTTTGAGGTACTTCTCACGCTCAACTTCCACGATGCCCTTGATGCGCTGCTGTGCTATCAGACTCGCACCTGCCCACGGGCCCAGGGTGTCCACAACTCTGATGGTACCGCCGATCAAGCTCGCAGGTGGCGGGCCGTGACGTATAGCCATCTGGGCAAACTTGGTGTCTATAGGGTCTTCCGTGGGCGATTGAAGCGCCGCGGGTATCGGCGCAGGCTCCGCATCGGTATCGAGTGACGAGGGAAACGTATCTTCGCCTTCCTGCCGGCGTGTCTCCACGTCCTCCTTTTGATTGCGCATCTTCTCTTCGCGACGTGCGCTCGCTCTGCCGTAGCTCTTCACTGGGTCCCAGCCCTTGAGTTGTACCAGAGCGTCCAGCTCTTTCTGTATGCGCGTCTTGAGGCCGGGTAGGTTTGACACACCACCGGTTATTACGATGCGCGACATACATAGTCGTCGGACGTCTATGGGGAGTTGGACGAGTGCGCGGTATATGAGGTGGTGTAGTGGAAGGTCTTCGTCATCGAACTCGTGCATGGCCAACTCGGGCGCAAAGAGAGCGTTCTCAGTGGGCTTGGCTAATGATGCGAATGGTAGCGTGAGTTCGGTAGGAGGCGTGTGCTTCGGAAAAGGTATGGTGACCGCGGGCGGCGGTGATTCGATAGCGTCTTCGAACTCCTCTAATACAGGAGCTTCTCGCGCGGGGAAATATACGGTTCGTCGATTCGATCGGGGGACGGGCTTGCACCATCCGACACGTGTGAGAACTTCCTCTGCTTCTTCGAAAGACACGTCTGCCTTGGTAGCGCTCGGCTCAGCGTCGTCAAGCTCTGCGTTCAGCAGCTTGGCCATCTCTTCGCTCAGCAGCTTGCCTGCCCGAACACTGCGTCTTTCAGAGACCTCGCGGTATTCGCATACCGCAGTCACAAGTGTTTCCGCCCAGCCTATATCCACAACCAGTGCTGAGCGTAGTCCTGCGGCCACTGTCGACAGCACCGGGGTTGACATGAGGGTGATGCTCGGGGCCTGGAAGCTTGTGAAGAGCACATCGAGGATGGTTGACATGAGCGCATGCGGCATACGCGGTGGCATCGCAAGTAGCACCCGCCGTGGCTTCGTGTCCAGCAGAAAGTATTTGCCGTATGCCTCCCTCATAGCCCGCTCAAACTTGTCTTCCACCAGGCCCATGTCAACCTTGCTCAGATCCATACGGTAGAGCTCATGTTCTTGGCCCCAGTCCTGTTCCCGCTTCCGCTTTCTTCTCTTCTGTGAATACTCAGGATCCCATTGCCGGTAGTCGCCCACTCTCCGCTGGTCGTCGGGCCCGAACGGGAGGGTGCATCGCGGGGCACTTTCGCCGGGAAAGCCGCCGCGTACGAATCGCGAGCCGACTTCTATCACGACATACTCGTCTTCGGTGCGGAAGGAGCCACCGGGCGAGCCGAAGGTGGACGAGATGGATCGCAGGAGCGGTGTCCGCGGTGACTCTCCCAGATCGGCGAGGCGTGGAGTGGCGCCCCGGGTGCTGCGATTGAGGGAGCCCGAGACCTTTCGCTCGCCGCCGGATGACATGGCGGGGATGCTTTTGGATGAATTAATAAATCATTGTACTGTAAGCTCAATGGCCGCGAGTTGCTTCGCCTGCATGTGCCTGGCGTTCGTCACTAGCTGCCAGAAAGCAAGCTTGTGTGTTCCAGGGTTAGCGTTGGCTGGCTGGCCCGAGCGCAGGAAAAAGTTCTAGCTGGAAAGCGCACTGCTCGAGCTTGCGACAACTCCCATCGCGACTTCCCACACCACGTCCAAATTCACCACGGAGGGTAGCTGCGTTTCGCGATCGCCATTGGACCTACCCCACGACCGAAATCAGCAAAATGGGTCTTTTTATCCTCTCGGAGACTTCGGCGGGTTACGTCCTGTTGAAGTCCAAGGACAAGAAGCTTCTCAGCGGAGAGAACAAGAACTCCTCTAGCATTGTCGAGGAGCTCAAGCTCAAGAAGTTCGCCAAGTTCGGCAGCGCAGTAGACGCTCTCGAGCAGGCCGCCGCGCTCCACGATGGAAAAGTCACGCCCATGCTGTCGTCGCTTTTGGAGGATCTGAAGGACGAGACCAAGGCTACCTGTACGAACATCCTGAGATTGCGCAGTGAACATGGCAGCTAACACCTTCAAGTGGCCGTCGCCGACCCCAAGCTCTCCAACTCGATTGCGCAACTCCCCGGTCTCTCCCTCAAGACCGTATCAGACTCTTCTACCCAAGATGTATTCCGTGCCATCCGCGAAAACCTGACCTCGCTCCTTCCCGACCTTCTTCCCTCTGAGGAAGCCGCGACCAGACTCGGTCTTGCCCATTCCCTGTCGCGACACAAGTTGCGCTTCTCGCCCGACAAGGTCGATACCATGATTATCCAGTCCATCGCATCGCTCGATGTGCTCGACAAGCAGCTCAACACCTACGCCATGCGTGTCAAGGAATGGTACGGCTGGCACTTCCCCGAGCTCGCTAAGAGTAAGTTCCAGCCTTTTAGACGCCTGTTCCCCTGGACCTGTCACTGACTTTAGCCACAGTTCTCAACGACAACCTCGCCTACTCTCGTGTGGTCCTTAAGATGGGCTTCCGAACCAAGGCGCGTGAGAGCGACCTCTCCGAGATCCTGCCCGAGGAGATTGAGGCAGCTGTCAAGGCGGCTGCAGAAATCTCCATGGGTACCGAGATCACAGAGGAGGATCTGGAGGCGACCTCAGCTCTTGCCGAGCAGGTTGTTGACCTCACCGAGCACCGTCAAAGCCTCGGCGCCTACCTCTCCAACCGCATGCAGGCTCTCGCTCCTAACCTTACTGCCCTTGTCGGTGAGCTTGTTGGTGCGCGCCTCATCGCCCACGCTGGATCCCTCATGAACCTCGCCAAGTCGCCTGGTTCCACCATCCAGATTCTCGGTGCCGAGAAAGCTCTTTTCCGCGCTCTGAAGACCAAGCACGACACACCCAAGTACGGTGTATGTATTCTCTGTCCTCATTGCGGATCGTCGTACTAACTCTCCCAGCTTATCTACCACGCATCCCTTATTGGTCAAGCCACCGGAAAGAACAAGGGCAAGATCGCTCGTATGCTCGCCGCCAAGTCCGCGTTGGGTCTCCGTGTCGACGCCCTGAGCACCTGGGGTGTATCGTCCGAGGACACCTCCAAGGAGCCCACCGAAGAGGAGAAGTCGCAGCTCGGTCGCGATGCCCGCCTCACCATCGAGAGGAGACTACGCGCCCTCGAGGGCAAGCCGCTCAAGAGCATTCCTTCCGGCAACGCCAACGCGACAACACTTGGACAGAAGAAGTGGGAAGTCAAGGAGGCACGGAAGTACAACCCAGACGCCGATGGTCTTACTGGTGACGAGCCAGCCGCCGATGCGCCCGCACCCAAGAAGTCAAAGTCGGACAAGACCAACGGCACACCCAAGAAGCTTGTACAGGAAGTCGACAGTGACGAGGAGATGGCTGATGCCAAGGACTCATCAGACTCCGAGTCGGAAGACAAGCCCGCCGCCAAGGGCGACAAAGCCGCAAAGAAGGCAGAGAAGGAAGCCAAGAAGGCACGAAAGGCAGAACGCGCCGCAAAGCGCGAGGCCAAGGAAGCAAAGAAGGCCGCCAAGGAGGCAAAGAAGTCCAGCAAGGACAGCAGCAAGAAGCGGAAAGCTGATGACGGCGACGAGAAGGTCGAGAAGAAGAAAAAGAAGAAGAGCAAGGACTAGATGCTGTCGCCTGTATCTGTAGCCATGTTCTTACAAAAGAGGGTACGGCGTTGTTATGGGTTTGAGCTTGCTTTGTTCAGGCGAGTGGCGTACGAGGGTTCGGCATCTTGTAGTTCTATGTTTCAAAGTCCTCCTTTTACGCTTGCATGATGGGGATGCGGTGGATGGATACCCGCCAGTTGGTAGCATACAATCACATGTTCATAAATCTTCAGTCGTGTCGTCTCAGACCTTGTGTGCTGATGCATCCGCACTCGCATTCGTTAAATAACCTCCATGCTGTTGACGTTCCCACGACACCCCGCGCAGTGTCAGTTCCTTCTCTCACAATAGCACGAAACCCTCCATCTCCTGCTTGTCGCTACATCTACTGATCGTCCATCAAACTCAAACCTTCCGCTTAACCTTCCTCCTCTTCTTATTAGCACCCAGGAGCTTATTCGCAATCTTCGGCATCTCCATATCCTCCACGCCCTCCGGAATACCCCCCTCCTCCTCATCAAACACCTGCTGGATGATAGCCAGAATATCATGGAGTTCGTCTTCAGTGAACCGTGTTCCCGCCTGTATGAACGTTAGCAACCATCAATACCATCAACACCACAGTCAACCCCACAGTCAACCCCACAAAAGGCAAAGCGCAGCCAGAAGAGCAGTCCAAAGGCCACTCAGCAGAACAGGAGGCAAGTAACATACCTCCTCAACAATCAGTTCCAGCGTAACCTGCGTCGTCGGCCTCAAATTATACAACTGCAGATACTCCGCCTTGTTCAACCGGTACTTGGGCGCCAATGCACGGAATAAACTATGGGGCCCGCGGTAGAGCGTTCTGGGTCGTGACGGGTGCGCGTCGGCGAGGGAGGAGGTTGTGTATTCGGCGGTTTGGAGGTAGGCGAGGCCCTGGGGGGTGGGGGGATGAGTGGGTGGATGGATGGGTGGATGGATGGATGGATGGATGGATGGATTGGTGGGTGGGTGGATCGATGGATGGGTGGAAGGATGGATGGAG